AAAAAAAAAAAAAGAGGGTCGTGGTGTGTTAAAATTCTTTGAATAGGAATAGGATTTAATTTCTTTTGGTTGGATTTTATTTCCAAGCGGGAATTATTCTATTACTTTTGGAATAGGATTAGGATTTTTTTGGGTTAGTATTTATTTGGTTTGGGATTTGTATATTTGCGTGACAAAAAAAAAAGAAAAGAACAAAAAAAGATGTTCTTCGAGCCATTAGATGAGTTAGATTCGGAAGATCTTGCAATGTTGGAGGGGTTGGAGAGGAATTTAATCCCGGAGGAGCAAAGTTATTTGGAGGAGTTGTACGAGCGAAGAGATTTAGAGGAGAAGTACGAGCGACAAACCAAGATCACGGAGGAGTTGTTACGACGACAAGACGAAGGTCTATGCTTTACTTGCACCGAAAAGTATGTGTCGGGCCATAAGTGCAAGTCGAGCGATGCAAGCCTCTTCACGACGATCGAAGGAACGATGGTCAAAGAAGCCGAAGTGGTACAAGACGCGAAGGTTCCACAGATCGAGATCGACGAGGAACCTACGTTCTCGTTCGAATTTCTGGGATTCTTTGACGAGGAGAACCGAGAGAGGAAGTCGTACAAGCAAGAGACCGACGTCGAGTACACGATGGTGAGTTTGGGTGATTAGAACGTGCGCGCGGGAACGGCACGCGCAACACTTCGAGGTCGAGGCCGAAGGAGCCGAGGTAGCCGAGGTCAAGAAGGCGATCTTGGTCGTGATTGAGGAGGTCCATGATGACGAAGCACACAAGGAGGACGGTGCATATGAAGAGGTGGTCCAAGTCGTTAACGAGGTCTTGGTCGAGGACCGTGAGTGGGATGCGTGCGTGGTCGAAAAAGGAGTGCCCGAGGTTTGGATGGTCGAGGATGAGTCCTTGAGGACAAAGACATTCTCAAAGGGGGCATGAATGATGCGGAAGTGGGTTTTGAGCCCCAGCGACGAAAAGGTCCAAGAGCTGAGAGGACACGAGGAGGCTGAAAATAGGGCCAAAACGACGCATATATGGCCTAAGAGGCGGGTACGAGCTCTTATGTGAGGCACACAAGCACGTGACGAGCGGAACGAGTCGACGCGAGCACGAGGGAGTCGATGGGAGTCTCATGTAAAATAGCGGGTACGCGTGAGAGGAGCTCGCGCGTTTACAAGGGCACATACACAAAGATGCCGCAAGAGCCCTTGGTGCATGAGGTGTATGCGCATGGTGCGTATGCGGACGGTCTTAGATCGAGGAGTTGACATGGGCCTAGTAGCCACGGGCCTAGCAAGCAAGGGCCTAGAGGCTAGCAACGGGTTGAGGACACCACGCGACCAAGCACGTGGAGGAGTACGCTGGTTGGACGCGCGATCACACGAGCTGGCGAATGGAGGTCACACAGGGAAGTGCACAAGGACTCGCAAGAAGTTGGTCTCGAGGCTAGCAACGCTCACACTCACGGGGAGGTGCATTCAAGAAGGGCGCGCACATGCGCATTGGCGTAGTCGGGCATGGCACTTGGTGGTTAGGCGAAGTGGTGTGCAGGGGGTGGATGTTGGGTGGTTAGCGCGCGAAGAACGCTGCTGTGGATGGACGGGCAATGCGCGAGCATTGGCGCACACGAGGGATTGCAGCGAATGGACGAGCGCACATCGGGCGCTGGACGATGCGCAGGCAGCTGATACGGAAGTGGGAATTGACCCTCAATGATGTGAAGGGCCGAGGGCCGAGGTTAATGGACAAGGCCGAGCAAAGGGTGCAAACAACGCTTGCATGGCCTAGGAGACGTGCACGAGCACGTATACGAGGGTGCCGACATGCACAATGGCATAAGAGGTCGAGCAAGAAGCTCGAGAGTTTGAGGCTTGAAGGCTTGAGCGGCGTGGTCGAATGACGCAAGGTGTGTGCGAAGAAGCGACGCGCACGACGCTTGGAGGCTAAGGTCTCGGGCGTTTACTTTGTAAGGGAGACGATCGGTGCGCGAGGGGCGGATGTTGGGTGGACAGCACGCACATGGGATGGCCGTGAGCAGGCGAACGTGCAAGTGATAACATATGCAAGAGCGTACGAGAAGATGATCCCGGGACGGGCAACAAACGGGTGCAAGGAAGGGCGCGATACGCGCATTGGCGTTGACGTGCACGGGCGAGACCACGCTCCAAAAGGAAGCGCTATCAGAGGTTTTGGGATGGCTAAAGAACCAGATGGCTCGAAGGAACGGAAGGCACGCGAGTTGGGTGCCCGACGGGTGCAGCCCGCCCACATGGGCGCAATGGCAGCGTGATGACGGATCGGGTGTTGCGTTCCCTCGACTTGTCTCGATCACGGCCTCGCCACGGCCTTGCTCTCGACGATAGGTGTGATCGACTAGGTTATTAGCCTAACTCTCTCACGATACTTGAGTTCACTCGGGTATTAGCCTCGCTACACTCTCGAAATAGATCGGGTCTTAGCCTCTCTAAATCGTTGAACTGGCTTGGGTCTTAGCCTC